CAATTGCATCACTATCTACTGACTAGATTGAGCGTATTTTCCACATCTTCCAGAATTACCAAATCGACTACACGTAATGACAATCAATCAACTGAACCAACTGATCTGTCTCCACCGACAGTACTGACCGAATTGTACGGACTAACCGAACCGAATCAACAGGCCACATCAAGTTCATTCACCATATTGACCACAACTATCACACGAATCAGACCTTCCAGAACGACCGGATTTATTCAACTGAAGTAAACGAGCGAACCGTCCAAAGCAAAGGAACCGACCGAAATGGCATAACCGACTAAAACGACCATACCAACTACATCGGTCACGGCAACCGAATTCTTTAAACGTACTTTCCAGAACTAGCAGAATAACCGAAGCGTTTCAACTGCACGGAACGTCTGAATCAACCGAAAAGGCCAAACCGACCGAATTCACCAGACAGACCGAGCCGACAGAACCGATCGCACCGATCAAAACGACCTAAACGAACAAACCGACCGATCCGACTGAGCCGGTTGAACACGCTAAATTGGCCACGCTAACTACGATTGATCAACTACAGCGTCTATATTCACCACACAGATCATATTTACGATATCTTCCAGAATTTTCCTATTAAGTTGTCTTCACCGAACGACCGACATAACTGAACCGACATGACACACCACACCAACTACATCGACCACACTGATCAGACCCTCAGGACGTACCATAAGTACCGGATTGATTGATCTAAACGACACGACCTAACCGACCGAATCTTCCGGGCCGACTAGACCCACCAGACCTTCTAGACCGATTGGATTGATCTGACCTGCTGAAATATATATGGCAATCATGCCGAACCGAGGTACCAGAACCTCCAGACCGACCTCGTGGACTCGAATTTCCAGATCGAACTTAATAGTCGTACCCATTGGAACGACCAGACCGTCTAAATTTTCTAGACCGGCCCTGCCAACTTATATCCGAAATACTTCGGTCTTACTCATGCTTTATCCGGGAGCATTAACCGTTTCAATTAGTTACGTTAGTCTCTACTGTAACTATTGGGATAGCTTTCATTTAGTGTGAAATTGGATGACCTAATCCAAAGAAATTTTATTATTTAAATGAAAGCCGACTGAGCTTTAGTCTGTCATGCCAAGTGGCAACATGGTCAGAAACGGATATCATTCTTGTAAGCGATTCAAGTTGACATTGCTTCAAAGGTCTAGCCTGCCCTAACGACGAGATAATATGGGTATAGATAGATTTGATATATAATGATCTGCTCATTTATTCCGCATACATACATTTGAGTGCATGTGTTTGTGTGTATGCAAGTGCCTGTTTCAGGAGTGTTGGAGTCTGTTGACTGTGTGTTAACTTGAAACGTTCGTATAAATTGGTTCCTGCTATCATAATGTACGTAGTAATAAAGCAAAATGGACGCCAAAACAATGAGAATCAGCTGTCTTCCAGTGAGATTGACGGATCAGTCTCTTCGTCAGGCTCTTTCACATGAAAGTAAAGTCACCACCACAATGGTATCTGAGGCGATTGATCAAAACTCATTTACTCTTTATGGTCAAAACTGACACGCCACGCGCTTAGTTGATATGAGTGCAACTCACATAGACTGCTTTATCCTGCCGGCCATAGCCTTGTCTTCCAAAGTCGGCCTACTCAACGGTTGTACAGTTTTATTCCCTCTCCCACTCCCTACTCGTCTGCCTACACATCGTTGCTTCTGTCGCCAAGGTCAACTCTTCTTGGCCTCAGACGTCTGCCCGGCTTGAGTGGGCAAATGTCGAATCCGTGTTGACTCAGCCCAAATCGGGCTCCAGAAGCATGCATAAACGGATTTGAGTGCACTTGTCATTGCTTCAACTTTCACAGAAAAGGCGTGTTGTTCATCTGCCGTCCGGTGGCCTTCACATGCACATTCTGGTTGCACCGACGGCGACAAGAGTCCGACACAATTGACGAAAGTGAATAGGAAGGGGGGCAGGGAGCCTGTCTAATTAATTACCATTTCAGCCTAGGGGCAGCTTCTGCCCTCTTTGGTACATTTTATTTGTCACCACTCCTCCCAGCATCATTAGCGCCTTTTTCATGTTCATATTCGGCCATTTTGCCCAATCCTTCTGGAATGTTCAGCCTACTTTTCTGACATTTCCCAATCATTGGGCACATTTTAGCCTCTGCTTGGCTCCGTTCGAAGCCGTCTTTCCGGCTTCTCCGGCCGAATTGTGGGGACTTTGGTTACGATTGCACTGCTTTTCTGTGCGTCCCAGTCTCTACAGCACCCATGGCACTGTTGCTCTCTCGTCAACTGACCTCCTCCAAACGCACAGACACACAAGAGAACACACTAACACACCAACACTCCAACAGCCTCGGAGGCAGACTAGACGTCTGCCCCATGGGCCGAGGCTGGCTGACTGGCCTGCACTTGAGACAGGCCTTCTTGCGTAATCGACAAATGAATGCAGATTTATTCAGCCTCAGCGGACCTGCATGTCGAAGGGCCGGCAAGGTCGCTTTTCGTCTTGGCGACATGTGTGAGGCTTGTCCGGTTTGTCCGGTTTGTCCAGTTTGTCCGGCCCGTCCAGTCCGTCCGGATTGTCCAACATGGCCCGTCTTTAGTGCCCTTTGCATTCTCACGCCCCTCCCCTCCCCTACTTTGGCCCCGGCTGGACCGTCTCGCGATGACAAAGGCCCGGTTTCGTCGTCTTCCCATCACAACATGGGCCAGACCGAAGACGGCCTGGGCGTCAGAACGAGTTTCGGCCGGTGCATCCGTGCCACGACTGCAGGCCGAAGCCCCTCTTCGCTCGGTCTAGTCGTCTCCCATCTCGCCTCGGACATGACACAAACAGACTGTCGGTCGTGAAGACTGGTCGTGGCCACGGTGACTGGGAAAAAGGAGGTTGTATGGAGTTGGTGTAACCGGGGCTTCGCAGCATGCTCCTGCCTGCAGAGTGGTTTTGAAGAGCACCCTCGTCGTTGTTGCCATGCCCTATTTCAGCAGCGCATCATCACTTCCGGACATTTTACAGGCCATCGTCACAGCCTCAGACATGAGCATTGAGCTGCAAGTTGTCAAAGTGACCATTGAATTGGGGCAGTTACTAACGCGTCATTTCGCGTTGTGCCTGTCAGTTGGCCTGAGAAGGAGTGTCGAAAGAATCCGTAATTTGGTCCCACCGGAAGCCGAAGGGGTGGTGATTGTAGATTGATTCTGGCTAAACCTTCGTTTTTTTCATACAGAT